TGTGCCAAACACACGCGCGCGCGCGTGTACATATATATATATATATATATATATATATATATGTATATGTATTATATATTCATATTTTTGAGTCAAACCGGAATTAGGATGCCAACATTCTCTTGGAAAAATAAAATGGTGATACTTATAACCTAAAATAAAGAAGGGGAAAAAGAAAATGATATAACAAAAACGTAGATATTTCTTCCTCAAGACGTGTTGCTTTATGATGAACAGCTGTAATATCATAAACTGTGGACGTTCAAGGTTACGAACTTAAATGGTAGAACCAGTATATTCGTTGTTTAAGGTCGATTACACTGAGTATACACCTCATTTGGGCTGTGTTTCTCAACTGTGTTTAAGAAGCTGTTTTTAAAGCTGGTATACACGTGCACCAATGTGTGCAAAATTATATATTAATTTATCATATATTGTTTATAAATACCTAAAAAAAAGACCTCTCACGATCTAGAGAGAAACACCTAGTTTGGGCAAATCAGGGAATTGTAAGGTATTTTAATGTCATCAAATTGGCTTGAAAAATCCAATCCATGCTTCCAAAATTAAAGACTGAATATTCATGAAAGAAATAAAACAGATAATAAGGGTATGGTGAATACAACTAGGTAACGAGTTCAACTTTTCTAAATCAAATTGCTAACTTCGAATTCTTGCACAGTATGGTTAATATCATTTGTCTTCTCCAGATAACAACACTACTTGCTTTTTTACAAATCTTTAACTATTTTTAAAATTTCATAAATATCTCACTCAGGTCCGTACATATAAGTTATTATTTGACTGAATGTTAAAATGTTTCAAATTGAAACCCAAGGTACAATTTTCCTTTTTTTTTCTTATTCATTCCACAATAACGCTATTGGTAAATTTTAATCTAAATTATCTTCAACAAGTCGCCCAAAGAGATGTATCACTGTAAAAATAAACTTGTAAAAACATGTAATATGTTGTATAGAACTATGATGAAAAAGCCTCATCAAACCAGTTATTTTATTTTTCTCAGTCTTCATTTCCCATAGTTTCTAGCTCAATATTAATTATATCGCCAAGATAATCATTATCATGTTAACTTTAGAGCTACTTCCTTGGAAATTTTAATTTTTTACACCTGTTAATGATTTAATATTACATTTCATCGTATATTTTACAGGATTACAACAAATTAATCAAGGCAACCGAAATTATTATTAACTTCTTCAACAACAAAATATATATTTTCGAAGTTGATCTTGTTACATGGCCTTAACCTTTAAGTTTCATACGCACGAATTTTACAAACACTTACCTAAACGTTAGCCCGTGCAATGATCATTCGCTCGCCTGGTGCAGAACGATACGCAACTACATCGCGCCTTGGTTAAAAACAGTACGTACGTACTTGTATCAAATCGTGCTCAGTTTGACACACTTGTTTAGACGTTTTTTACAAAGACAAGAAGAAAAAGCTTACATTACATACTGGTCCTAAACTATATAATAATTGTAAAAGGGAAACATTCCTACCTGATTTGAAAAGGTTGCAATTCTCTAAAAACATACAACAAGCTAGACATATCTGAACAAGTGTCAGACGCGCTACACCTCCCGTCGCCATAGTTCTGTTCACGCTCCAGCTTTCTTTCACGTGACGCTCTTTACAAACATGAGAGAACGAATGTGAAGACACAGAGCACATGCTGCACGCAATAGCTACAAGTGATCCAGCGTGTGAACTTTTATTGGGCTGACTATTTTATATACCTATACCCTTACCGTCATCTTAAATTATAACAAAAATTACGTTTGCTTTTTATTTTATTTTTACATCTCAGAATATCATTAATGACACAACTTGGCAACCAAAATACTGTTACATCTAAACATACAATAACAAATTACAGTTGCTACTAAATTACACGATACTCGGATAAACATTCCTATTAAAAAGTTACGTTTGTAGCGCTATCTGGCAAGAATAAATCATTTTTTAAATTAAAATTTTATTATGTGAACTACATCTTATACGTTTAACATCCGAACACAATTTTCGTCATTTTACTGACTTTGTCAAATATCTTTTGGATTATTCAATAACAACAAGATTGTTTATATTGAAACTTAATTGGGCAGTCTACGCGTTGTTTTACTTTTCATTGATTATACAAGCTTTCGGCTCAAACTGTCTGAGCCTTCAAAAACTGTAGGACGAAAAATTGAATATAGAATGAAGTATTAAAAATATAATAGGCCTAACTATGATGTCTTATGACAAGTATAATTAATTAACTATAGTAACAGTTCGAAATACAAGTTGCCTAGCAATAAAAACAACAAAGATGTGCCCTTTATAGTTTTACAACAAATAAGTCCATTTAAACGTTGTATTTCGAAATGTTCCTCTCAGTAACTGAGAAACACCTGTTGAAGGTTCAGGTAATTAAGAAAGCGGTGAAATTTAAGAAAACTAAAACGACGTGTAAAGTGTCCAATTAAGTTATGAGCTGAGAATATAATAAGAATCTTTGTGATGAAAATCATGTATTCTGAATTTTATTTTCACATTCCTCTTAATTAGCCTATTTCGGATTCAGAGGTGTATAAAAATAGCGTTTCAGATGTATCTTTTGTCCCCAATAAGTCACTTTCGTTCAATACCAGAACTCTACAATTGGGTTGGACAACGAGAGACAAAAGAATATCGGAAAAGCTATTTATTTATGCAATATAATATTTTACAAGTTACGGTTTAAACGCCAAAAGTTAGCGAAGCATTAGAAACCAATAGGCCTAAAATTTGTGAGAAGAATAAAAACAAAAAAAAAATTTTAAGCTGCAGATCTTTTTTTTTGTTGTTGTTGTTGTTGTTTTGTTTTCCATATTCCTCTTAATTTGTCCATTTTTAAGCCATCAGGAGAGGAGGGAGATAAGAATGATTGGTATAGTCTGTTTAATGATAACAGATACACAATGCACTAATGATAACAGAATGGATTGATTTATTTGACTGCAAGAACTACAAATTATAAACGTTCCTTGTAACTAACGATAGGCATAACTTTGCAAATGACGCTAAACAAATATTCACTTGTTAATTTTCTAGTAGGTACAATACTTGTCGCATATGTGATCTTCCGACTCTGTAAGTAAGGCAAGAATCTTTGAAATAAAAGCCAAAAGTGAAACCAAATGAAAATCAATTCGCCAGATTTACGCCTTTAGTTTCATCTTTCCACCGTTTATTGGATTTTATTAACCCTTCCATTACAATGCTATCAATCAGGTGTATATAGTGTAGATCAGCGTTTCCCAAACTGCGGGTGGGTCGCAAGTGGGTCGTAAAAAGTTATACTAGAATTACGCATTAGCTTCGATTAAACGCTGAATGAAGCAAAAGTTGATGATGATATAATCATTGAGATATCTGAACACTTGAATAAGCTGAAAGAGAGTTTTGAGTTTTATTTCCTTAAAGAAATGAAAAATATCTAAGAGAAAAATGGATTATGGACCCCTTTCAGCCTGACATAACGAGTGGGATATCGACAAAAGCTGGGGAAGAACTTTTTGATTTATCCGAGGACGC